TCGTAACTTCGGGTCTCCTCCGTCTGGTCTCCCGGATTCGTTTACCGACGCTGTCTGGACTTATGCGCCGTCAAAGCCCCGAATTAACCTAAACCCTAAACCCTAAACCCTAAACCCTACCGAATCCACAGCTTCGAATGCTGAGGCCCCCAAGACAGCCGAGGCCAAAACTGCGAGTGTGACAGCGCTACCGCTGCGGTAATGGTTTCTTCGAAACTTAATCCTGTCACCCCGAAGATCACCGGTCTGGGGTCGTCCAACACTTACACTGCAAGCTTCGCTTAGTTTATTACACTTATAGTGTGGCTAACAGTTTGACTTAGAGGCGTCGGATGTAGGCACGGGTAACTCTAGCAAAGTTATAGCAAGCCTCGCTACACCTCAACATTGAATCCCTGGAGCTGAGCTGTTTCCGATTTCTGGGGGGTCATTAGCAAATGACTGCCCTGTCTACCGTACAGCAACCAGCACCGAACAAACAACTCTAATCAATGTTGAGCAGCTGCCATGTGTTGCAACTTCAGGGTTTAGGCGTAGACTTGCGCTGACAATTCGGCATGGTTCTTCGTGCCCCTTTGCCTGAGAATGGTGTTAAGACTTGCTGGTAGTTACTCATGGGGCGGTGGAGCTTCTGGGCTCGAGCGACAAAGTTCTCCGGGCTCTTAGGTCGCTTGGCTCTTTCTGCGAAGACGGCTTATTTCAAGAGAGAGATACGAGAGACAAAGGCGAAGCTCATGCCATACGAAGAAGGTCCGTGGGTTGTGTTCTGTTTGGTGTGATTCGTATCGGGGGCGGGGGTACAGATGGCGAGGTAGAGGTGGCATACGATCCTGTGATTCCAACGATATATTTCGACCCAGGGGGCAGGTTTCCGTTGTAAGCCTGATTGCCCTAACTAGCCCCCAAAGCAACTCCTAGGGACAAAGACACGAAGCACATTCCGACCATTGCCAGACGATGTTTAGAAATCATTTTCAGCCAGATGTCGCAGCCTCCAAGCAGGTGACGTGTTGCGAAACCGTCAAGCGCCCACATCAGAGTTTCAGAGAACGGGGAAATCGGTACTAGGGGGCCGAGAACTTCAAGCCTGAATATTTAGTAGGATCCTTAGAGTAAGGACCCTTCAAAAGCCCCATCTGGGCAGTTCATGCCTTCCCCTAAACCCTAAGCCCTAACCCCCCGACTTTGTTGACTTCATGGCGGATCCTGCTGCACCCCCTGCTGTCTGTCGGCTTAAGCCATGACACGGCCGAGCTAGAAGGCGGGATGAACTTGTCTGGGTTTAGGGTTTTAGGGATTAGGGTTGAGGGCTTTCCGTCTCGATTTGCTGTTTACGCACATGGACAACGTGGTTCGCAGGTTCTCATAAGGGGGGAACCTTTGGTTGTTGGTTCAGAGACGGGTCCACACCAAACTGAAGTGAAGCGAAACATACGAACCACGGCCAGACGTGAAACAGTTTGGCATCGCAGAGAACTTGCGCAACTGCGACTGAAGCAAAGGAGCCATCTGACAAATACACCAAATACACTGTTTGCTTGCGACATATGTAGAAGCGTGACGTCTCCGGCACGTGCTTGCTACCGTCTGAGTATGCAATCCAAAAGCCGGTGCTCGGGTAGCTCCAGTCAACTGTGACGATGGACAAATGCCTACATGGTCAAATTGGCAAGCCCTGACCCTTTTTAAGCTCTGAGCCCCATCGAACCCAAACCCTGAACCCCTCCAAACCAGAAGCCCTACAACCTGCCCAACCTGAGGCGCGAAACCTTACGAAGCCTGACCCAGGCACTCCCGGCCAGCATGGCGTTTGGCTTGGAATGCTGGCTTCGACCCAGGCTGCTGGGATCTGCGATGTGCAGGCGCTGCCGCAGAGAGACCACAAAGCCACATAATAACCTGATTGAGAATCCTTGGGTCCTTATAGGGTTCCTTAGATGAATCCTCATATTTTGGGGTTACAAGGCCTGGGTTTCTTAATCAGGTTCCTACGTTAAACACACTCTTGCAAGCACCGGTTGAAAAAAATCGACGTGCCCACGGAAGTCGAACCCTATCCCCCTAATCCTAACCCTTACATAAACCCCTATAAACCCCATAACCACTAAACCCTAAACCCTAAACCCCGTAACCACATAGCCCCAAAAGCCAGAACCCTCAAGTCCAAGAAACCCGAGAGCCCCGGAGCCCGAACAGTTGTAACATAGGGGGCAATCGGGCTGTGGGGTATTCTGCTATAGTTAGAATAGGGAATTCCCACAAAGTAATTGAAGAACTAAACCCTAAACCCTAATCGAAGAACTTGTAATAGTTGAGGCCCCTACAATGCCAAACAGCTCTGCCAGACGGAGCTGCCAAGCCGCCTTCAGATTTGACTTAGGTGGGGCTATTGTCAGGGTGTAGGGTCTCGTGGTTTAGCGTTGTTTCGGGGTTTAAAGTTAAGGGTTTAGGGCGTCCGTTTTTTTGTTTTACGGGTTTTTTGGTGTGTCGTCGTGGGGTTTGGAGTTGAAGCTTCAAGAGATCAAGATCTTAGCCGTCATCGCTTCCAGTTCTAAGTCTTTGTCGCTCAATTAAGGTTGTTTCCGGATGGGCGTTGGCAGAACGTTAAGAGCTGGCATGTCAGTAAGTTGATGTCTAGGCAACCGGCTGCTATCCCAGAATGTTCGTCATTGCTGATATGGGCTTGCAGTTTCCATCCTCTGCTGCCCCGCGAACGATCATTCTACTCGCTCTGATTCCTACATCTGCTGGCAACTCTTCCCTCGTACTTTCAGCGCGATTTCCCGGCGGGGCAGCGCGGACACGCCCTAGCCTAGCCGCTAGCCCTAGACTCCATGTCTAAATGAATACCACTAGACTATTATTTTGCCGGCTCCTTATTAGCATAATGGGCCGCAAAGCCTTATTCTGTTTATTAAGGCCCCTATATGAGACATGGAGCCCTGTACGAAAAGACATGAAATCCCAGGTTCGAAGACAGCTGCCGAGAAGCTGACTGCGCTTGCCCGAGGGGCTCAAGCCGTGGGAGCCATTACCCTACTTCACGGCCTGAGGCCGGATCTAGGTTAATAGTACTATGAATATATTCATAGTACTATAATTAATAGCAATAGTCATAGTAGTATAAACCGGATGGACTTTCGGGTTTAGGGTTTCGGGGGACTCTTTCTGGGAGTAGCGCGCGGCACCCTTGTAACTTCTAATCTGCACATGAAGGTCTGATGAAGCTTGGGATTTGGCAAGGGTTCATGCTTCCTTATGCTAGTGTTCTAATTTGGGAGTATGGATTGAAGAGCAAGGAGTTTGTTACAGGGTGTTCAGTAGTTCTTCAAATCGTCCAATAGGATCCACAGTCGTGCAGCCTTGCCCTTTCGCGACAGCAAACAAGCTTCTTTCAGTTTGGGTCTGTTTTCCAAGTGCTTCCCAGTGGGCCGACTCACAAAGGAAAGCGTACTGCGCCCCATGGCATTGGCTTGCACTGTTTTGGTCTCTGCGGAGACCTGAAGTGATGTTGAAGAAGCCAAGAGAGACACCTCTCGGCAAGAACGTATGCATGTGATATTTCTTCTCACAAGATCTTGCCAGGGTTGAAGAGATGCGGACGGGCAGAAGCCCCGCCCCCTGCCCACCCCCTAGTTAATTCAGTGTGGTTTTCTTTAGCGAAGTTCGGTGAAGAACGGCTCGGTTGCCCAACCCAGCCCGACACCGAAACCCCGAGACGGGAACCCTGATGCATTCCGTTTTATCGAGCCATGAAGATTGTAGGATCGTGCATAATCCTAGGCCCGAAACTTACGAACCTATAAAGAATATACCCTAGAACGCAGCAAGGCTTAGTGGCCTTCGCCTCGATCCACTTCATTATCGTGCCGAGCCTCGGTCTATGGTATGGAGGAACACTTGTTTAAATGCCAGCTTCAGAAAACGATGTAGGATACCTTTTGTATGGGTCCTCGCAGTAAGATTCCTGCTGCCAGTGGTGTATATGTTGCGGCTCCGTTATTTGTTGAAGCCCCCTCGCGTAACACCGGTGCCAAATTCACTGGTGCATCGGGTTGTAGAGCTGTTACGATTTTGGGGAGTCGAGTTTGATGTGTTGGGGTCTTGGGGTTTAGAGTCTGTGTAGGGTTTATCGTTTTGATTTTGAGTGGATTGCCAGACTTTGGGCCCTTGCAACGCAAACAAGGCCCCGCAGTGGGTTTCAGGCAAGCTTTTCAATGTAACATTGCTGCGATTTCTATTGGGCAACCGAGCGACCTCCCGCAGCTCCCTTTGCGCTAAGCATCTAAGAGTCACACCCATAGGCCCCTAAGTAGTTCCTCTTTTATGGTTTATATGTAAAATCCTATAAGG